TTCTGGTTCTGGTTCTGAGCCAGGTTCTGGTTCTGGTTCTGGTTCTGAGCCAGGTTCTGGTTCTGGTTCTGGTTCTGAGCCAGGTTCTGGTTCTGCTTCTGCTGGAGGTTTCTTCCTGTTAAAGAGGAGTTTTTCCTCTCCACTGTTGCTGCATACATGCTCTGTATGAGGGATTGCTGTAAAGTTAGACACAGTGTAAGAGTTTGTCGCCCCCTGCTGGTCCAGGAGGAGAGAACGCTGCAAGTTAAAGTCTCGATATTCTGCTGTTTCCTTAGACAGAAACTTTTTTATCTAATTTGAATAATAAAATGAGTTTAATTCACTTATTGATAACTAGAATGAATTGGATGTATTATTGGATTGATTTTTTGCAAAATACATTTGTTGTGAATCTTGTCCATATAAATAAACTGAATGGAATTGAAACGAGACCCGGTTTTGGATGCAGGGTTGCAGGAGGCCTGGTGTGTCTCCAGCAGCCATTGGCTGAGAGGCGGACACACACTGGACACGTAGAGAGTGGAGTAACTTAGATATAGAGAAAAAAAAACAAAGAGAATATCAAGTTCAGTACAGCAGTAACTGCAGATGGAGCAGAACTGGAGAAAACCAGGAGAGGAGCCTGATGGGTAGAAGACAGACCTCTGGTTCTGTAGAACTTCCAGAACCACCAGCCCACCTGCAGAACGACACTGAAGTTTTCTGTCAGGAACGTCTGGAATGAAGGGAAGCTTAATTTATGGAATATGGAGAAATATGATTTTTCATGTTCACCAGAACTCTTGCTGCAGTATTTTGGATCAACTGAAGGATTTTTAATGCTTTTTTTTTATTTTTAATTTCTTAAAGATTTACTTAGTCCAGCCTGGAAGTAGCAAACAAATGGCCAAGTCTTTCTGCTTGTCCTAGACAGGAGGTTTCATATTTAGGGTTTATTGTGGAGGTGAAAGAAGGAAATCCTATAAACTTGTTGATTATGGGATTTAAATGAGATCCTGGTTGTTTGCTGTAATACCTGAGCTCATTTCAATCACATCCAGGTTAAGTGATTAATCAGTTTTATTTTTCTCTGATCCAATGACAACAATTTGTTGTCTTGTCAGAAAGCAAAACGTCCTCCAGGTTTTTATATCTTCAATGTCTGTAACCTGCAGGATTTGTGGATAAATATAGCTGCATATTATCAGCATAACAGAAAAAATGCACTCAGTAGTTAAAGTGGAAGCACAAACAGGATACAGCAAATATAACTGGTCCAAGCACTGAACCCTGTGGTCCTCCTCAAATAACCCTGCAGCATGATGATGATATTTACTTCCTGGAATCGGTTACAGCTATATTTCACTTTATTAGGGACAGACATGCAGGTTGCTGCTGATGTTCAAACTGAGCATCAGGTTTCAGAGGAAAGGAAATAAAAGACGAGTTACGTGAATAGTTGTTTCAAAGGTCGTTGGTTGAAGGTAACAAGTGCAAAGCAGTCTGAGCAGCATCTGTGCAGCTACCTTTAGTTTAGAGATATAAAATAGTTTATCTATTATTTGATTTAAATTTATTATTGTGCCCTACAGAGGAAGTAAAAACTAAATATGCATCAGCAAACTGTAATCTATAACTGCTGTGACAGTGTTTGTTTTCTCCATGAAAAATAAACATCGAATAGGAAGATATAATCCATGGATCTGGATTCACCTGGGTGGAGTCATCCATCTCATCGGCTTTTGTCTCTCACACCTGATCAGAAATGCTCTGGCCAATCAGCATGTGTGTTTTGTGGAGTCTGAGGCCTGTTTGTGTTTGAGGCCTGACAGAAACGAGCCCCAGCAGATTCCTCACTTCCTGCTCTGATCCAGTCGTTGAGCCAGGAGCTGAAAATGCCATCGCATTAATGACGCCTCCAGGGTTTTGGTCCCCTGCATCTCAGTGCAGCATGTTTGTTAAACACTGGGTGGCCGCGTCCTCCCAGCTGTCCCAGTGTCATTTCCACGCTGCTTCACTGTGTCACAGCCTCACAACCGTTTTAATTACTTTGCTCTAAAGAGCCCAGAGAATGACGGCGCTTTTACAGCCTCGGCTGTGGAAACCTGCTGCAGAGGTGGGATCTTAGAAAGCAGAGCTGAAAATAAGAAGGTAAGTTACACAGTCAAGAATTAATCATTTGGGTTACTTAGACGTTCTGGAGACTCAGCTTTTATTTTGAAAGTCCAGTTCTTCTCTTCAGCTAGTGAATTTGCACATTAGCTAAATATTTAACTCTGAGCTAACCAAACATTTAAGCTAGCTAAATATTTAGCTAGCTCAGAGCTAAATTTTTAATTTGGAGCTAAATAGTTAGCATGCTCACTAAATATCTCTGGAGCAAAATGTTTAACTAAATATTTAGTTGTTTGACTAAATATTTAGTTGTTTGACTAAATATTTAACGTGTTACTTAGACATTCATTAGACACTGTGACATTTAAAAATGAATTAATTACATGGGAAAATATGACTTGGAAAATTAATCTCCATTTTTCTCGCTTATGACAGGCTAAATAACCCAAATTATTCCTGTTAATTTTTACTGTGTAACTTTACAAAGGGCACCATCAAACTCTCCCAGTAGCTTCGTCATCTCAGAATAAAGGGTTAGGTTAGGAACAATATGAGATATCAATTTTGATAAAATGCCAACACAATGCATGGTAAGGCATGATCATTTTAATGTCTAACAAATATGCTTAAGTCAAACATGTCATGTATTTTTCAGTCAAAACAAATTGAACTGACAGACGGTGACCTTTCTATGACCTTATTATATTTATATATTAAACTGTAGCCATACGTTTAAAGTAAGTGAAACTTTTAACTCCATATTTACACATGCAGGAGTCAAAGTGAGCGTTATTTTAGTGATGTTGGAGCCAAAGTGCAGCATTTTCATGGCGCTCACCTTTGACCCCTCATGTGATGATGCCTAATAGATCAAGACTTCCCAGTTTTTCACTTCTGTGTCTTTTTGTCTCCTGGTTGAACTTGAGGCTCACAGGAATGGACAGCAGCACCAGGAAACCAAGACACACAGCCACAGCCGTTGTCATTAAAAACATATGGAAATGAAATGCCTGTTTTGATGCATTCCTATCAGAGGGCCGTTCTTCACTGAAGCTCTTAACTGGCTGCTTAATGGCATTTACTTCCTTGCAAAAGGCTCTTTGGAGTCCCTGCCTACAAAAACATGATCTGTTGACCGCGGGCCGCTCTGCTGATATCCGATTCTGATTGGAGTGACAGATTGACTGCTTTGTTTGCTAAAGCCCTTTTATAAACCCATAGATTGCAAAGCCAGAACCGCAGCCTCACCGATAAATCCAGCGGCAGACAGGGCGTCTATTTGGTCATAAATATGCACAGTGGACTCAATTACTCAGAACGTTATTCGCACACCTGCTCCAGATATAGTTTACTGTGTGTCTCCCTGAGAAACACGAATCATATTTATTTGACTCCAGTAGAAAAATCTGATGTGTCAGCTCGTTTCTCAGCAGCTTGCTTTCAGGTGAGTTCCACCTCCTGGTGCTTGGAGACAGAAAACAGTTCATTTCAGTCCAATCCATGTTCAGCAGAAACATGAAGCGACAGATGAACGCTGCCTTCAGATGGTTTCATATCACCTTAAACCTTTTCCTCTTTTTTACAGGACAACCACTAACTTATTTTATGGAGACTGAGCAACATGAGCCTGTGCACAACTGTGAAGAAAATGAGGCAAAGTTTTCAACATTTTTAAAACTCTAGAGTGTTTTGTGTTTGTATTCAACCCATTTTACTCTGACACCCCAAAGCTCAAATTATCCCTGAACTTTGACCTCAACTCCAAAACAGCACCACAGAACCAAACAGCAGAGAGGGAAGGAAAAAGTTCAAAACATTTTCCATCGATCATAATGAACAAACATCACATCCCAACTCCAACGTCCGACTGAGATATAAAGAGAAGCAGCAAAAGCAAATGAGGTGGATTAGCAGAGCTAGCTAACAACTGATGATGTCATCCAGGACATGTTGCTGTGGAACATCATCTCTTAGTCCAGATCTGAAGCTGTTAGCATTACATACAGCAACAGTCTTCAGTCAGAGGGCTCCTCAGATATGCTGCCACACTGACTGCTACTGGAGTTCATTACTGACCTCAATGACTGGATGATGTGACGTATTCAGCTTCCTTCCTAAAACCCTGAAGACCTGCAGCTGGAACATTTGGCAGCTACAGAGCCTGAGACACCAACACAGCAGCTCTTCCACCTGCTTATGTGTGGAAATAAGAACCGAGTTTCACTTCCGTTTTCATGTCGAAGATCTGTTTTGTGTTCATCTGTCTCATGAAATCCCAGTGAAACTCACTGAGGTTCCGCTGTGACGTACCAAATGTTAAAAAGTTCAAAGGGTAAAAACTATCTGAGCAGTTTATGTAAATCCTCCACATTTCTGGAGTTAATTTGAAGAAAATGTGTGGAATAAAAATCCCCAGCAGCCTCTGCCCCCTGAGAGAACAGATGTGTCTAAATATGCAGGACTTCCATTAATATGGCTGATATATCATCAGATGGAGGCAGAGCCATCAGGCAGGAAGCTGCTGGAGCTCCAGCTACCAGAAACCGTTTAGAGTATTCAAACCAACATTTATTTTTCCTTTAAATACAAAAAGTTTCTGAAAGCAGGTAAATAACTTCAACATTTCCTTCTGAACTCAACATACATAAATCATAAACACAGTGAGATTCAGTTGCTTCTTGCTGTCATTATTCAGCGACGTCTCACTTCAGGGAACAGATGCTAATATCTGCTGGGAAGTGAGTCAGGCTGAACCGTAAGACCACCAACCGCCTTGAAATTATTCTGCAGGCTCTGTCTCAAATTACAGCTTAATTGAACTTTTCACAACCGTACAATAGCAAACTCTTCCTGGGGTCAAAGTTGACAGAGTGGCGCGGGGTGCTGAAACCTAAAGACATCATTAGCGCCTCGTCTCATCATTATCCTCTTTGGCCGGTGGCTCCGTTCAGATGTGAGGTCAATTACAAATCCAGCTATTTGCATGGAGGCGCGTTAGCAGGAGGGATGCTCGGCCATCAGGAGCAACAAACGGACGAGTCGTCTGCCCAGAGCAGGAAGACGAGACCAAATGAAAAATTATACACCGTTTAGCAGAAAACATTAAATTATTCATAAAGAATAAAAATAGAGCTTTCATTTAGTTGTTTACGTTTAGCGTTAAAGTTGAAATATGGACCTCTGGCCACTGTTTCTACAAAAAGCACAAGGATTTTCTTTTAACTAGACAAAAAGCAAAGGGCTGAGACTCTGCTGACCTGTTTCCTCTAACCTGAAACACAAACGTCATTTCTTGTCTGTTCCTCTTCGTCACATTCTGGGATGAAGATCCTGTTTTAGGCTAGATGCTTTGGATGGTTGCTGCCTCCAGTTTCACCACTAGGGGTCAGTATCTGCTCTACGGTGTTGCTGGAAGAACAAATTCCCAAATCATTAGCAGTTAATCATTTCAAACTTTACAGCTGAGGAGGGAAAATATAAGGAATGCAGGCAGTTTTTGAGGCCAAACTATAAAAAGCAAAATGTGGAAATCAGAACTTAATAACCCAACAGAGAAACATTAAGTCTAAATGAATCTATATGAATATGAAATGTTTTTCTCAGGCTCATTAAATATTCATGTACTCTGTCCATTTAAAACTTTTTGGTGCTACATTAAATATAAATACTGCTTTGTGACCCATGCTGTGAAACGTTAAGACTAAACTGAGCATTTACAGTTTAATTAGTGTTTTCTTGTGGTTTTAATTAACACCACAGTCGGTTGTAAAGCAGGTAAGCAGGAGTCATTTATGTTTAGCAGATGTTCACCCCCAGGCTCAGCTGACAAACATGTTTTCCAAAGCTAATAGCTACACTTATGGCGCTCCACACTGGAGATGGCTTAAATAAAGTTTATGTTTCACTGAAGAATTACAAAGTCACGCTGAAAAATGTTGACTTAAAGTTCATTACTTAGAACAGCACGGACTTTAACGTCTGACCGTTTTCTACACTGACCATCACTGGGTTTCTAATGAATTTAAAAAGTTGAAACATTTAGTGATTTTTTTCTGTAGTTTTAATTATTGGTGTTACTGTAAAAATTAGTAAGCAGAATTTTATTTTTGCTGTTATTGCTGTTGTATCTGCACTTGGCACTTGGAGTTGAGTTCCAACAAAGGTTTCTTGTTTCTTGTAATGTGAATTTTCTTAATTTATTTTTTGCATTATTTCCATTAGATTTAGCAACAGAAAAACAGACTGAGTTCAGCACCTTTTTATTGAATTAGCTGCCAAAGCTTGGAAATAATTAAGAGCTCTGTCTCTTCATAACAAGGAAGCGTCTTGTTAAAAAAATGTTTTTTTGTTAAAACAAGAAAGTCTAATTTTAATCAGATGTGAAAGTAAGTTCCTCTGACAGGTTAAAGAGTTGTACAGAGGTTCACTGCTCTCCTCTCTGTTTCCACCTAACAGGTGTTGCTGTTTTACTGATACTCTAAAATATTTTGGCTTCATTGGGGCACAAATCTCAGCTTTTTAAAATCTTGTTACAACGATAAAGTTTTCTCGTTTAAACTGCTTCTGACTTTATTTCCAGGCTCTGATATTTAAATGTTTTTGTATGTTTTAAACCACTGTGGACATATTTTGTGCAGGTTAGTGAGAAGAGATGAAAGGAAGATTTTTTTATATATATTTTAATTTTAGGCCAGTAACTTTCCTACATGGTCTCTCGTTTTTCCCATTTTGAAGGATAGAGCAGCAGAATGGGCTTCATGTCATGTTTTTTCTTCAAAGTCGTGAACTGAGATATTTTCGTGAAGTGAATAAATTAAAGGTTGATATGTGTTTCAGTGTAATTTTGTGCTACTGCAGTGAATTTATTTTAAGGCTGTGGTGCCCCTAAATGTGGAAAGTGGAGTTTAGATGTTTTTATCTTCAAGGACCTCGTGTTTTCTCCAACAGATTTTCTTTGAGTCGTGGCAGTGGATGTTTGAAACAATGGCCTTGCCTGAAGCAGCACTAATTCATAAAAAGATTCTGATCAAACGTGGAAATGCGCTGCGCCTTCCAGAGCGACGCGGTTTTCCACATGTTCATGAATTAGTCATGCGCCCACTGAGGTAAACAGATCAGCCCGATGAGCTCCAACTGCAACCAGAGAGTTCCAGCAGCTTGCTCGTTTCTCGTCGACTGACTCCGGATAGACGGCGACGCCGCGCTGCCTCTGAAGGTCACCGGCGCTCTGAACATCCAGCACACTGGACAGAAAATGAGATTCATTAATAATTATCGTTGGTTCGCTCTGGGGATACTGGTGATGCTCCTGAGCAGCAAATATTAATATTTCAGCCTTCGTAGAAAAGCTTTTAAAGCAGTCACTTTGCCCTGCTCACATGGACTAAAGTTGATCTTCCTCTTTATTTTTAAACTTATTTTTCCCGATTTTCTTTTTTGCCTGATGTTGATTTGAGAACTCCAAATGTTAGTGAGAAGCTCTGATGAAGGCGGCACTCCAGTCCGCCTCCATTCTCCAGCCTGATGAATAGAAACTAATGGCTTATCTGTGGCAGAAAGAAAGAAAAGGTGAATACACAGCAGGTGGATTCAGTTTCACAGCTGATTATGTGTTCAGTCTAGAGCACTTTATGGAAGAGTCATTTCAGCAGCGCAGGATGTTGAAATGGAGGGGATTTCAGGGAAGCAGAAGAATCTGAATGCAAGTTAGTGAGAGCTGCCTTTGTGTGTGAAATATGCACTTTTCCCAAACAGTATGAATGAAGTCACTGTGTGGTGAAATGCCTCCTTCTGTAGACACAGAAATCCCTCCTTATTCCTCTGTTGTGCTCTAACAATTAGACCTTCAACGAGACACAGCAGTCACTTCGTTGGCCTGTTAGGTAGATTAGAAAACACCAATTTACAGCTTTTATGTTAACTCCAAGGGGATAAAAGCAGATTTCTGAGGGCATTGGGATCATAATGAGCCTCTGGAAGCTGGCAGCAGGGCAGTAAGAATGTCTAATGAGAGGGGAATGAGTAAAACGAGTTTATAGGCAGGAAAGGAGGAGAGAACATAAAGTCCAGCTTCCAAGCTCACCATCAGGGTTATTTGATGTCGCAAAGCCAACGGATTGTCAATGCTAACTTTAATCTGCTTCAACTGTCTGGAGGTCACGTCAGATGTCCTGTGAACCAGTGGTTTAGTCAAAGCAAATGCTGTTTCATGAGAACAATGGCCTAAAATCAGAAAACATCTGAAACTTTTGAGAAGTGCTCACATCGTCTTTGGTTTCAGGTGTTCAAGAACATTTTATCTAGCTTGACAAACATCTTCTAGAACCTTTAGAGTATTGAGGTAAAACCCGTTTCAAGTCAATCAGACCAAGCCTGGCCAGTATCTTCCCATGCCATTCCACTCGATTCTCATCTCCCTGCAGTTCTCCATCTGGGATTTCTCCCATTGAACTCCAGATTTCAGGTTGAATATCAAGCAGGTGAATCAGCGAACAGAAGCAGTTGTGATTTGTAGTTCAGGAACGGTGGTGAAGGAAGCCGGACGTTGTTGGCCAGACTTCCAAATACTGAGCGACTAAAGTCGGAGCAGAGGAATATCTAAGATATTTTACTGCTGGCATAGATGCTGTGGCGTTACTCCCCTCAGGTTGTTCACAGCATGTGCTTTTTCTGGTAGGCTTCATCGAACTGGTGCATTACGTACGTCACGGCCAAACGTTAGCGAATGGATCACATTTAAACTTCGTTGGAGTCCATGCCTCCAGAAAGCAATCGATTCTCAACAGCTGATGAAGCAAAGCGTAAAACAAGGGGCCGTTTTTTACCAGGCTGGTCAAACCAGAAAACAATCAACAGTTAAACTCTAATTGTGGAAAACACCTGATTTCTGCCACAAGTAAAACTCAAAAGGCAAAAAGTCCCAACAGTTTTCAGTCAGAAACATTTTCATCTCAAATCATTTCCAACATGTCAAACTCTCCCTGCATTCATAAAACGATAATCTATATGTTGTAATTTCATTCAGCTGAACAGAAACCAGTCAGATGTGCCGAGTCGTCTCTTTTCACCCTGACTTAATGCTACTTTTGGGTTTACACTTTATTCTCAGTGTAATTTCAGACTTTCAGATAAAACTAGAACTGGTGGCAGAGAAACAAGGAGCCATTGGTGCTGGAATACCCAAAATAACAATTAAACATCTTTATTGAGCTCATATATCTATTTGTTCAATAATTTAACAGCGAAGGTGTTTTTAAATTGAAAATGTTGCTAATTTTTCCATAGAACTGGGATTAATTATTTACAGACCCTGCAATTAACTTGATTAAATATTTGAATTGAGTCCACCACCAATGGAAATATGTTTTTTTACTTTAATGTGAGATGAGATCAGTTAATGAAAAGGAGAAATGTTCATATTAATTTGAGAAGATATGAGACTGATTTATGAACATTCATTTCATGTGGCTTTACTTCCCTATGCCAGAATTACAGAGCAGCAGCCACGTTCGTAGCAAAGATGCCCAGCTGCCATAACTTTAGGGCTTCTTCTCCAACTTAAAATGGATTATCCAATTAATGTATTTCAAGCTGCATGACAGTATGGAGCAGAGCGACACACTGGTTCAGCCAATTTAGGACACCGCTTGAGATGTAACTCAGAAACTGGAAATAGAATCCTGACTAACCACCGGCCTTTTTCTGGCTTTGATTTCGTGTGCAGCCTGTCACATAAATTACATTTTTAAATATAGATTTTTATATTGTCTTCCCGAACGAATTAGTAATTAATAAAAGGCAGAGCCACAAACATGTCAAATAGTGTTATAAATGGAGAGATGGTTAACTCTCCATGAGCCCATGGCGAACTGATTGCTCCTGACCCCGTCGCTGCTCTCTGATGTTTATGAATACAAATAAGGTGGATGTCACTGCTGAGCTTTCTTCTGTCTGGGGTAACATTTCCTTTGAGCTTAAAGCAGAAAATATCCAAATGAGTCATTTCCACAATCATCACCACATATCCCTGTTTGACGTCACTGTTTTTATTCCTCCATGACTTTCCAGATGTCATTATGCAGCCCTGTTCAAAATCTCACGAATTTTTACACATTTTGACCAAATGAAATTCTGGGGATTTCATTTGACAGATCAACACAAATTTAAACGTTCAAAAGCTTCATTAGCAAAACCTTCTTATTGTATTCAGACGCCCTTGATACCCCTAAATAAAACTAATTTCCTTCAAAAGTCACCTCGTTAATGACTACAGACCACCTGAATAATGTCACCTCAGTATGCTGCTGTGGTTGGATCACAGTAAACTCTGACTAAAGAACAAGTCAACACACGATGCTAACAGATATTGTATTCCAGCCATTTTTCTTCATAAAAGAGAAATTATAAGTCTCTGGTGACACGTTGCTCGGCTATCCAATGGTAATGCTTACCTGTTCATGCTAACGGTCTGGCTTTTGTTAAAACTAGACGCTTCCATTGTTATTAACAAATGAACTCATCACTGTAAAAAACAGATACCTAATAAACGTTTTCCCAACATAGACGAGCACCGTTCAAAACAAGAAACCTTCCATCAAGATGACAGAAAGTGTAAAGCGGAGGAGCGAAGCATCCGTCACAGCGGCCTGTGCTGAGGTGGATGAGTCTGCTGCTGCAGGTGAAACTGGCACTAATTGATGATTTTGCTGCTGACCAAAGCAACAGGATGAATACAAAGCTACTCTGGAGCCACATCCTAACAGAGGCGTTTAAGCCTCCTGGCCACAGTCTCAGCATAACAAATATGACCAGAAACAAACTGAAGCAGCTGAAATGTTCAGGTTAAAACGCTGAAACAACACAGACTGGCTAAATAAACCGTCTGGCTCAAATTCAGGCTGGCAGTAAAGAACAGCAACAAAAAACAGAGACTGGGTATGGAAACTTAGAAAATGGAGAAGAAAAATATGTTTATGTTTCTGCGTTTGACAGATTCTTTTATCCAAAGGGACTTTCAAATATGGATATAAAAACATTTCAGGGTTCAGAAAGTCAATGAGAGTACTTCATGGCGTTTATGCAAAGCGTGCATAAAGTTACCCAGATGGAGGAGTGGAAATTAAATGAAACTACACATGGTGAGAGGTCATGTAACTATATTGCAATGATTGCAGTATGAGATGAAAAGCTGGCAGGATGGACACGTCGATGCTGCAGAGGCAGTAAGACGAAGCAGAAACTGGATGGAACCAATCAGCCGCAGCAGAACAGAACCGGTGTTGGCCTCAGTTCTTGGTAAAATGCATCAACATTTTTCCAACAGGTCAGTTTATTGCTACACCAATAAACTGAAGTGAATTGATTTGACTTGATCTGGATGTGAACCTGATGATATCCAGAGATTTTCTTCTTGGTGCTCGACAGTGTAAAGTTATCTGTGCTTCGCTGAGACAAAGAGCCTGAGGAGAAAACAAACAAACATAAAAGCATAAAACTCCAAACACTCAAATGTTTACTGTGCATCTATGTGTAATAAAGACCAATCATGACTTCAGGAAGCTAAAAGGCTCCCAGTGCAGCTTTTCTTAGAGTTTGAAGCCAAAGGCAGCTTTCCTGGCCTCATCTCTGACACTCCGGAGCGTCTTGGCTTCCTGGTGTGTATTCACACAAATCATTCCACTCACTTCTGCATATCACCTTCTGCAACATCCTCAGAAATCCATTTTGTAATCGGCAGAACATCGATTCCCCGTGAATGGATGGCGAGTCCAGACGGGCACATGAGACGACTCTGTGTGAAATGGTTAACGCAGGACACACACACATATGCACACACACACCGAGGTAAGCACCAGATCTGGTTAATAAGCCTGTGAGGGTAATGTGAGCTCTGTCCATCGCAGCGACATAAATCAGTGAAATGTGTCTGCTTATTGTGATGCTCCGTGTGGAGAGGAAGCTCTTCTCATCTCTAACGTTTTTGGTTCAACGGCTTCAAGTGATCAGAGCTGAAAGAAAACAGAGGAACTGAAAGGTTGTTTCATACTTAATATGCATGAGAAGCAGAATCAAGATGAAATGAGATGCAGCATGCCCTTTATATTCATATATATTTACATCAGCAGATGTTTTAGTAGTCGGTACATTTGTATCGTACAGCTAATATGTTCAACCTGACATCAGGACAGGAAGCTCTGATGTGTTTCTGATTCTGCTCAGTGAAACGACTGGAGTACGAACAACGTCAGATAAATGCTCTGCATTGTTTGTTAAGGCTGTTGTCTTTATGTTTCTGTTCATGAATAACAGTCTCATGACTAACAGCTCAATATCCAGGTGATATTTCACAGTGACATTACTTAGTGTTACTTAGCTCTGCTAATCCGCCTCCTTTGCTTTTGCTGCCCTTTGTCTCCTCCTCATATATTTCTGCCTGGCTGTTTGATTACAAGCTGAGTAGAGAGATGTTGCACCACATCCAAAACTATAAGGAATAATCAAGTTATTCCTAAATTAACTAAAACATTATAACAAAGTCTCCAAAAAGGAAAGTCATAACTACTCATGCTCCTTCTTCACGTGACAACCACAGACTACACTGTAGTAAATGTTTATGTGTCAGAGCAACATGCTGCATTTTGGGAAGTTACTGGAAAATAACACATTTTTGAAAAATGGTTATATAAACAGGAATCTGAGAATGGATGGTCATTATTCATTTTCCCTTATGAGGTGATTTCTGAAGGCAGCTGGATTTATTTCTAGATGTCGAGGCAAAATGTGCATTATATTAATGCACACCATCAGATATGTATTTTATAGTGAAAACAATGGAAGTGCTACATGTTGAAGAAGCATGTTCTGCCAACCTCAGACTCTTGAAGGAATTAACAATTACAGCTGACAGCTAAAGAGCTACTAGCCACCAAACCTAATCTGAAAGTTATGACAGATATTTGTATGCATTGTGGTATGCAGCAAAGCAAAATACCGTTTTTAAATTTGTTGCAGTTTCTGCGCAGACTTCCCTCCGGTGAAGGTAATCACGTCTCCAGGCACCGTTTCCCTCCCTGATGGCTCACTCCGTGGCTGAAGCAGGCAGCTGTTGCAGCTCTGTGGCCGTTTGAACGTCGCATTTGGCTGCAGACGCTCATCAACATTTGCTGCTAACCTCCGGTGATTAGACACGCAGAGCTGCAGGGTCTCTAGGAGATGAACTTTCATTGTTTCCGCTGGCTTTTTGTGCCGGATAAATACATGATGTCCATTTTCTGGCCTAATTCAGGAAGCAGTGGCAGCCTGCTGCCCTTCAGCTGCATCAAAGCAATCATCCTGCAGGCGAGGCAGAGAAAAGCTCCTTAATTACTCTTTAATAACTGTATAATATGTTGCACTTAATTGAAAACATATTAATTTGTGGGAATGATCAGAGGCCCTTGGCTGCTGGAGGTCGTGATCAAGTGGGCATAAAATGATCAAAGCCAGCCTGTGGATTTAAAATGCATAATATTACAAACAAGCAAGAGAAATGAAATATCACCTTGCATGTAATAGAAATATGTAGCATTTTCCATAAAAAATGAAGGGATAAGTTTCATCATTAGGCTCAGAATACATGAGTGCATCTTTCTATATATAAATAACATCAAAAGCACCTCAACAAAGTGAATTTATTCATGTTATTCCTACATTTAATGGTTTTTGCTTACAGATACTGTCACATAAAATCAAATATTACATCACACCAATAAAATGGATTGGATTCGTCAATCTGGTCCCACTGAAAATATGTCAAACTGCTCAGTGTTGGTTTGGTCTGGGCTCCTTTTGCCCAGATCTGCCACACCTGATTGGATGAACCAAATCAGCAACATGATTGGACAGCATGTCATCTTGACGACCTCTCCTGATTGGACAAAATGAACGTTTGTCATTTAACTTTTTCTTTTGTTTTTTTAATATGTCTGCCATGTCTGGAAATCAACTTTCATTTATTTATTTCATTTCACCAGCTTGCTTAGCAGAGAACTTCCTGTTGCATTTCAAAGTAAGAGTATCAATATTAACTAACAGTAGGGATTTTACTGAGATGCTTAGAAGTTGGGAGTGTTAAAAGTTGATACTTTACCATCCATCCATCCATCCATCTTCTTCCGCTTATCCGGGATCGGGTCGCGGGGGCAGCAGCTTCAGAAGGGAGGCCCAGACTTCCCTCTCCTCAGCCACTTCTTCCAGCTCCTCCGGGGGAACCCCAAGGCGTTTCCAGGCCACCAGAGAAACATAGTCCCTCCAGCGTGTCCTGGGTCTTCCTCGGGGCCTCCTCCCGGTGGGACGTGCCCGGAACACCTCACCAGGGAGGCGTCCAGGAGGCATCCTGGACGCCTCCTGGATGTAATGATACTTTACCATTACATTAAAAATGAAAATATTAGGCTCTGTTGTTCTGTGGTTTATTATTTTGGGTCTCTTACTTCTTCCTGTTACCTCTCTCTCTCTCTCTCTCTCTCTCTCTCTCTCTCTCTCTCTCCCGCAGTCAGTTAGCCAATCAGCCCACTTCCTTTGTTTCAGCATTCAACCCAACTCTCCCAGTACTTTAGCACCTCTTTCTCAGTCCCTCCTTGCCGGATCCTCCTGTTACTTCCCATGTCTCCCTTCTGGCTTTTCCTTGTGGATTATTTCTGTTCCACTCTGGCTTCCTGTATTTTAGGAAGTTTTGATCTTTATTTTTTCATAAAATCTGCAACACAATGTTACGTATTAAGCCTGGTCCATCTTCAAACACTCAACATGACAAAAAAAACAAAAAAAAAAACTGTTTTGGTTACTGAAATAATGTAAAACTGAGTTTTTATCTGAGTTTTTCCTTCCACTTAACTTCCCATCACTATTCTTGAATGCAGAACTCTGTGGACACTCAGCTTCTTGTCTTTTTGACCCTTCCTGGCCAGATGGAGGATGTCAATATGAACTGAAACCATAATGCTGTGCTGTAGGATAGAACAGATATGAGAAACATTCCTGATTAAAAATATTAAGTTTAATGTGAAATAAAAATGTTCTGATTAAGTGAATTTAAAATTTTCATTCGCTGTAAACAAAATAGATCAAAACAAATAAAGACTAGAAATATATCACTAAGTATAATTTTATCTTTTAATATATATTGAAATGAATAACCAAGTCTTTACACATCGGTTCTTCTCGGGACTTTTAATGATCTAAACAGTCCTATTATCTTATTTCATTTGCAAAAATTAGGAGATCTACTTCCTCAGGAGGAAGGTTAAAAAGCTGCAACAGGGGGATAAATAAATAATTAGCGCAATTACCAAAAATAGCTCTAATAAAATGTGAAGGAAAACAAGTGAGGCAGAGAAAATAAGAGAGTTGAAGCTCGACCATATGGTGGAAATAACAGATCTGAGACAGACAGATGCAACATTGTTCTCCATCTCAGAGTCGATGCAGCTCCTCCCTCTGCGCGCGGGGCTTCATTTCATCAAATCCTTCAACTTGGACCACTTAGGCTCAGCCGCACTTTGGACTCCGCCGCATTTGGCTCCAACGCCGCAACTTGCAGCAGTTTCTCTTCCACATCGAGCTCAGAACCTCGTCCGGAGAGGCAGAGAAAACTCCCAGCATCCGCTGCATCCCGTTCTGCCCCCAGCGATGGAGACGGAGGTCAGGTTCTGCCCAAAGTGGCACGGTGCGCTCCGGTTCGGGCTCTTCCTCCTCCTGCCCGGCTTGCTTGGCGTCGCCGAGGCTGAGATAACCTGCAGGTCATGCCGGGATGGGAATATGTGGCGCGGCGCGCAGGAATTACTGCTGAGGGTTGAAACAAGTGGTCCCGCTGCCGGGGTAAAGGGGGAAGTTTTGGGGAGCGGAGACCGGACCGGGAGGGTCCCCTGCGAGTCGGACCCCTCTGGATGCGCTCCAGACCGGGGGCAGCTGAGGCGGGAGCGGATTACAGACCGCGGGAAAGTTTCCCAACACAGGGACGGTGTTGGTTCGACTCCACGGCGCTTCAGGAGGGACAGTGGCGGGGATGCAGTCAGATCAGCCCCGGCAGAGGGAGCGGCGGCGGCGGCGGCGGCGTGGCGCAGAGCGGCGCGCTGGAGCGGAGAGGAGCGCAGAGCGGCCGGCGCGCGGCAGGAGGAGTTAAAGCTCAACAGCTCCACGTTCGCCCTGACCGGGGACTCATCCCACAACCAGGCCATGGTGCACTGGTCCGGCCAGAACAGCAGCGTAAGTCACACACCTGCGCTGGTTGACATGCGTGTGCGTGCGTGACAGCGTGCGTGAGAGCGTGTGAGTAAGAGCGAGTCCAGCGGACAAACTCAACTTCTTTAATTAAAATGTCACGTCTTAGTGAGGACATCAGCTGCCTGACCGCGGACAGATCATTAGTCAGGATTAAATCTGGACGCTTGTGCTCCATGAAGGAAGGAGAGATTTGAGGAGCTGATCCCTGATCACCTGCATCCTGAGCTGAGCTGATGTGAGGCTGATGTGAGGATAAAGCTGAGGCTGGAGCTGCAGGCGGGATTTTCAGGTCGCTGTGCAGGTTGTGGGAGAGGTGAGGCTTTTTCAGAGGCAGCAGAGTTTCTGAGGCCCGCTGGACTTCAGGGGAGGAGGAGCAGCTCTGCTGAAGTTAGGTCAGAGGTCAGACTCTGCCTTTAGGACTATTGTGAGAGCTTGAATTCAAATGAAAAATGAAAGAGATCCCTACCAAAAGCTCTAGGTGATGAACATTTTTGAATTATTGCATAGAATTTTGCTCGGATTGTCATTTTTTTTTTAATTTAGAAATATTCACAGTTAAAATATTTTTCAGACTCTTTTCTGAAATTTACAGATGAAAAAAAAACATTTTAATTAGAAATTTAAATTATATTTTTGAATTGTCTGAAGAAGAAAAAATTAAAAAGCTACAGTTTATGTCTTCAGTGGTCTATAGTTAATCACATTTAGTCAAAAAACACACATAGATATATTTAAATATAAAAATTTGTGTTTGATTGTGTTAATGTTTTTAACTGGCTAACATTTATGCAGCTGAATGGCGGAACCATGTCAGGAGATAAAAATCCCTTCAGTTCTGTTTCCCTCTCAGCTTCAGCCTTTTCTCTGCTCTGCTGCTGGATTTGTGTAAAGCAGGTCAGATGTACAAACTGGCCTTTATGCTTTATTTTTGTTCCCTCTTCAGAGATGAGAAATGAAGTGAGAGGAGGGAAAAAGTTTTGCCTGCTCTAAAACCTTTTCAGGGTGACCTTCTCTTCCAAAAGCATCAACTTAATGAGACGAACTGGAATAAAAACATGTGGAAACAAAACCAACTGAGAGACGAATTTATGTCCATCGTTTAAATAAAAGTCGTCCCATTATTTGACTGGACAGAATGACTGTTGAGTAAAATATACCACTACCAAGCAGATAGTCAACATGTGAATAGGAATATCAAATACGCAGAAAAAAATCTGTTATACAAAAATCTATAGGATGAAGCTTAAAGTCTTATTTCAAAAATATCTAAACTAAACAGACAGAAAAACCAATTTAACTATTTGATTGCAGTAATATTTGCACCATAATTTGAATGATTGAATCTGAAATATAAAGTAACATTTTTACTCTATTAAGGCATAAAATAAGCCCTTTACACATACTGAGTATAAATATTGGTCCCTGAGTTACACATGACGATTCCAGAGTATTAAAAGTTCATATGATTTACTGATAACATAAGTTTAGTGTATGGTCAGAATAAAAGATTCATTCTGACCATCAGTTTGATTGTCATAAATTGATCCCATTTCAGGGATGAGTTGTGATTCTCTGTGTTAAATTTTCATATCAACTTTGATGCCAAGGTCAAAATTTGATGAATGCAGATAATGTAGCATTGGATCATCTGAGTACTGTAACATTTTCCAACATTGTCATTGGTTAAAAATGGGACTGGGCCAAATTGTCCACCAAGTGGAAAACCGTTTATAATCCATAAAACCTCAGAGAAACAAATCTGAACATCTCAATATGTGGGTAATTATGTATTTCCCATAGTGACATTTTGTAGCACAATCAAGTAGCAACATTACCTTCAGTTGTTATGAAACTGCTGTACATATCAAATACACCCTTAAAATTGGCCGCTGTCTCTTTAAGAACCTCCTAGGCTTTCTGCCACGCCCCTTCAGCACTTCATCACAACAGTACTTTTCCATGATGTAATCTACAGCGTTCTTAGGAGTTCAGCAGACTCAACTCCATCAGGTGTTTGCTGATTGCTGCTGCCGCTAGTCTGATGGAGCGCTGTGGGGGCGGAGCTTTGCAGGAAGAGGTGAAGCATCATATGGCAGGCATGAAGGTACCTCTGAACGGCTGAAACAGGAAGTGCAAGGATTTCTCAAACATTATTAAATGAGTTAAAGCAAAACTCCAGGTATGTTTTTATGAGGAAATGATGCAACGATTTGTTTTGTTAGCTAACAGTTGGACTTTGTGGAGCGTGGAATAACTCAGAATTTACTGAAGGACATTCAACAGTTGAAAAAGAAAAACTAATTTGTCAAATTGTTTTGAATTTGGAGGCAGTGAAACGTGAGAAATCTACCCGTCTTGTTGCTTCGGTTTTATTGTGAACTAAAAAAACTGCTGGAGCTTCAGAATGAAACTGATTATCTATCGAAACAAATAGTCAATATCACATTTTTCTCTTTTTAGTTCCATCAATATTTTTTCTTGTGCACAAATCTGAAAGCAGCCATACAGTTAGATCTGTTTGGTAAAACAATTAGCTGCTGTTCCTCGACCTGGACGGATGAAATAACAGGAAAGAGCCGACATGAAGCATGTGGTGTCGTAGCTGTAGCGGGTAAACAGGCGTGTTGGTCTGAGCTGCTGGATAAACAACGCGGCGCGGCGCTGAAGTGAGAGCGATGCAGATAAGGGCCGCCATGCTCTTAATATTTAACCTCCCAAGCGTTTACAGAGCTCTCGTCTCTGAGCCGACCCGCGTCACTGCAAGCCTGTTTGGTCGCATGTAATTATGACTCATGAAAAATTGGCCACAGGAGTGAAATCAGCTGCGGACCGTGAACAGACAGAAACAGAAGCATTGTGAGCAGAAATACGCACCAGAGCCGCTGAATGGAGAATTCTGCTTTCAGTAAATCACAGCAATATGACAATTTAATAGGATTTGGCCTGTCAGCCCTGCTCTGCCTTTTTTATCTTCATTTATGTTTGGCTAGGAGTGCTGTTTTAAAATGCTGTTGCTTTTCACTCTCCACAGCTTATTTAAGGTGTTTCATGTGTTTACAACCTGAGTTTTATGTTATAAATCACAGCTGTTGTATTTAAAGAGCATATTAATAATTTTATTTCTTTTGTTTAATGGTGTTTGCGCTCTTTTCTGTGACACGGTGCAGCAGAACAAGCCAGAAGCTGCCGTGAACCTGCTGTGTGTTGCCGTGTAGGTGGACAGCGCAGCGTCGCAGGATGGAGAGGAAACATCCAAAGATCATGTCCCTGTGCTGCAGAATGTGTTTCTAGAATCAGGAAAAGACTCATTAACTGTCAGATCTGTCAGATCTGACTGGAGCCGTTTGATGAATCTCTGAGAAAAGATGGAAAATAGAGAGATTTACTGCAGACGTTGTCAGGTAACAGATTCATACAGTTCTGCGGTGAGAACTTATAAAATTTGTTTATTTATTTATACAGTGAAGGTCAGAAGTTTACATACACTCATCAGTGGCATAAATATCATTTTGGAGTTTTTGTATTTGAGCATCTGTTTCCTCAGAGAAACGACTGAACAGGATTCTGGCTTCATCCTGCCTGATTGTTCGACTGCTCTCCAAAAATCCTTCAAGACTGTAGAGGTTCACTTGCTTTCCTGGCGTTCCTGTTTCATACGTTTATAGTTAATAGGGTTGATGTCAGCAGTGTTTCAGAAGGTCAGTGTTGACTCTCCAGATCCATTTGAAAACCAGTTTTGGAACATTGTCCTGCTGCGTCTAACAGAGAAACGGCATCACAACAGGTTCCTTGTTCTTTGGTGGCAGCCATAATTCGTCTCTTCCAAACATAAATCTGCTCCAAGTTGCCAAATAACTCAGTTTTTGTCTCTTTAGCCATTTGTGACTGGCCACGACAGAACCAGGTCCTCGTCTCTCAGAAGCGTTTTCAGTTATTTACAGATTCGGAAATATTGGATTCTAAACTTTTTAATGATGTCAAACACACAGAATTACAAAACTATTTAAAGACCAGTTGGATGTTGGGACTCTGCAAACTATTAGTGAGAAAACAGACCTCAAATTCTCCCTGATGTTCATCTACGTTACATCGCATTAATCCCACCGCCCAGCATCCACTGGTTGGACTGGGAAGATGTTCAGCTGCCAGTGTCAGCTTCAGGCTGTTCCTATTGGTGGCTCTTCTTCGTTGGTAAATATGACTTCATCAGGCATCGCTGCAGCACATTCTACTTTAAAACAAGTTCTAGTTCTATGTTGTTCCTGAATATTCTAACCAGGAAGTGTATGGAAAAATGTTCCTCCTTTAAATCAGACTAAAAACAGAAAAATACAACTAAAACTGTTAATCAGAACAAAAATAACACAGATTTCCATCAAAAACAACTCTTGGATCTCTGCTACATTAAATGTGTCAGAGTAGAGCAACCAGACGACCTCCTCACTGAGCGCAGGGACGTCCGCGGCCCGCAGAGCCGACCAGCTTCCTGTGGTGCTTTTACTCCTCACATTTTAAAATAAGCAGCATGAAAGCTGGTAACCAAAAAAATCCACATTTTTTTCTTTTTCCTGCTGATGAAACAGACAGAAACGAGACTAATGGAACAAATATCTGCTGCCTTCATGTTCCTGGCAGGAGCGTCGTGGAAAAGAAGGTTACAGGTAAAGAGCACTCTCATCCAGGGAGCTGTGGCATATTGCTCAGATGGATGTAAGACATGCAGGGGACCGCATTATTTACATTATGAAATGTCAGGCATTAAGTACTTCAGCCTGTCACTCAGAAGGATTGGGACTGACGTATTGTCTGTCAGGAGAAGTTTCAGCTCCTGCAGACCTGCAGCAACCTGCACTGGAAGGAGTCCCATAGAAGCAATTAGAAGCAGAGATATCAGAAAATGATGCTCAGCGGCAGCAGCGTGGCGTTTGGATTTCTAATGCACAAACAGACGCAAAATATCAAAAGAGCTCGTGACAGATTAA